GTAGATAAAGGGTGATGTACCTCCGCTCGCGCGGACCGGGAACACACGTGTTCGCACCCTGTTTTCCCCTCGAACGCCACGTGTTAATCGCAATTAACTTCGACACTCTAGTAGACCACCCCCGGATTATTGTAATATCACTTCGATATAATTTTGTCGGAATGTTAAAATGTTAAAATTGTATTTAAAGCAAGGGGACAAGGCTTTTTTACGGTGAACATAAAAATAAGAAATATATATGCACAAAAATATATTAAATGTTAGATTTTATTTAAGCGATAAAATATCAGATGATAAAATGTATAATGTTCAAATAAGAGGCATTAATTAAAATAAGCTAAAATATTTTAATTAATGCCTCAGCTAAAATATTTTATTTTATTATACGTGAGAGTTTCTTTCATTGCATGATCGGATTATTATAGATTATTACAGAACCATTACGGCAAACATGATCGAACGTAGATTATCAATAACGGTGTTTCCGAGCGGCAAGAGCTGGCGAGCGATAACCCTCGCACAGAAACGATCGATCTCACCGCGAATGTTGGAATTAAATGCGAATATGCGGCGGAAGTGACGCAGCCGTAGCGTGATCGGTCGCGTCAAATGGAACGGGACCCATGGGTGCTAATTAGAAATTAGGTTAACAACCGGAAATTACAAAATGTCCTCAGGGAGCGACTCCGTCGATCGATTCGCGCACTTCCGTCGACGGAGCAGGATCGAAGATTTGCGTTAAAAAAAATTTAAAGTTTGCGCACGTTCATGATTCACGAATTTGCGCTTTCGAGTGATCATCACCCAAAAATGGAAAAATTGACTCAAATGATATTTTTGAGCAAATATTCGCGCGTTCGTAATTTTTATTCACGCGACAACGATTGGTTTCCAATTAATCATTGATAAATGTTATTAGCTATTAATTGAACGTTACTAACTCGTTTAATTAAAGTCCTCCTTTATATCACTACGGGATGTTCGGGATTTTATCGTGAAATAGTTAAAACCTACGTTCCCTCGACGTCGTGTCGGACGACGGCGACCTTAAATCATCTCTCGCGATGGTCTTAATCTCGAAGAATCGCGGAAGATTAATTAGTCTCGACGACGCAAACTCTCTCGTCCGACACGTGAGAGGAAATCTTTCGCGATGGAGACAAAGCGACAATTGCTGCTCTCCCAAGATCAGCCGCTATTGTTCGAAGCTTGGGAAAGATTTTTGTTCGACAAACATTAACCGGCAATGATTTTTCCGGATCTCATCGCTATTACTAAGGAACGAAACAAAATTATCATGCCGACAAATTTATTAATCTTAATCATTAATTGCAAGATTTTTGTAATACTTTCGAAAAACTAAAAATATCTGCGTATTTTATCGATTCTAGAGTTTAATAAAAAATAAATTTAAGAGAGAGAAAGAGAGAGAAAGAGAAAAGAGAATGTTTGTTATAATTTCTTTAATATGTTGAGTGTAACTAATTAATATAAAATAGTTATAAATTCGTTATATTATATAATTATAAATAATAAATTATTAATTAATATAAAATACATAAAAAAGCTTGCTTTGCATGTATTTTTTTCGCTATATCACAGACATGTTATAACATACAAATCTCGAATGGAATGTTGTTTTCAATAAAGTTTACTCCACATGGACATTCCACTAGGCTCGCACATTCGACATCTTATTGAATCGATGGGCGGAGATACAGCTTAATGAAGTGTGCTGTAACGGAAGGATGTTATTACAAAACTGATTCTCGAGCATCGACCGAACGTGGAAATTTTTATTTATCAGGGGATCCGTAATCGATGGTTGAATTTCCCCGTTGAGCTCTAGGCTGCACCGGGTTACGCCAGGCGGAGAAATCAAGCGCGCCCAACTAGTCAGCCGGATGATCAATCGCCTGGAACGTATCTGCCCCGCGTTACCACGAGCGGGTACACGAAGTAACGGACCGTTCAAAGATCAATGCTGATCGATGAGAACGGGAGGAAAGGGATCTGGTGCGCCGATAATCACGCGAAAGATAAGAGTCCTATTTTTATTTGCTCGGCGTAAAACGCTCTATTAACACGTCGAACGCGTTGCGAAGGTAAAACGAGAGTCAAAATGGCATCGAGGCTATTAATAAATCTGGAACAATATATGAGTCATGCTTCTTCGTTTCGTGAAACGCGAAACAGCTTTGACCGTGTTTTAATATAGAGAAATTCTTCTGGGGAGAATATCGAGAATTTATTCAGTTATGTAGAAACACGATTCTATTTTGAAATGTTATTTCTACTGATTTATGCTGCTGTTATCGTACAACCCAGACTACAGTGATTCAAATCGTTTCTGATACCTGCAGATTTATTTTTTGCATAATTACATGGAATATGATAGAAAGAATTCAGCGCGACGCGTCTTTCATGTCGGTTTACGACCGCAGAATTGTGAAAAATTTTAACGTAACCCGCTTATAGATACCCGAGAGTATGAATTTTATTTCATCCAAGGGAATGGAACAGCTGATCAAAAGAGTATCAAGAGAAGGATGTCTCGGAGGCGGAAACATGTATAGATATACATTTTTTATTCTTTTGAAAAATACATACGTCTCCGATGATATCCTTCCATCTCTGAAATTCCGTTTCGCATTTTCATCGAAATTAAATTTAAAAGATGAAACATTTTTTATTATAAAAATATAAGACATATCTTTCTCGCTTAAATCTCATTTCGTGCAATCGCCGGCGAATCGTAAATATCAACTGCGATTCGGCTAACTAAGGTGTCGAGAACGCGAGTTAATTTCTAGCAAACAGAGAGCGTCCCGGCCGCTTAATCCGTTAATTAGACTCGTAATCTCGGAATCAGTCTGTTGCCTACGGCGTCTGCGAAAATTCTCAAGATCCGGTCGGCGAGACGAGAAACAGAAAGAGAAGGAGAGATCTTCGCCGAGAGAGTTTCTCTATTCGGATAGAGATGGGCAGAAGAGTCGAGCAGTTTGCTCATCCAGTCGAGCCCTTGTTATTGGATCTGTTACTGGATAGAGTTTCGTTCCTTCCAATTGCCTCGGCAAAACACCCTTTCGCTTTGCTTGAGAATCGAACGGCAATCGAGTTTTACGATTTGAACATTGGCGACATTAAGTTTCTAAAGAAAATAGATTATTGTTAGTATTGGTAGTAGAAGCTTTTCAAACTTTATAATCCTATTTTATTTTTTAAAAGAAAAGGTTTGATATTATTTTAGCAATTATTTTTTAATTTGTTAAATAAATTTTTGAATGCAACCGCGATTAATAAATTAATGAATTCAAAGGACGGAGGAAATGCTGTCGTAAAAAATCGCGTGTTTTTTAAATCTTATGAATATTTTTACTGTTTTTTTTTTGCGGTGATAGAGATTGTTGGATCAAGTAAAATAATTAAATTTTAAGGAATAATTTTATTGGATTCGATCGTTATTCTATGAATTAAACGTCATGTTACAAAGATAGATGGAGGAGCTTCATCTATTTCTTAGTATATTTATTACGCCGGGTTAAGTATTCATCTCTCAGAGTCCCGCGAACCATTAAACTTGATTTGCAATTTCAACGTTGAATTAAAGCCTTTCTCGACTCGCTAGATGATGTTACAGAAAGGTATTTTCATCTTTGTTGCATTTCTTGTAAGTTATTAATCGTTTAAAAAGACAAGAAAAACAAGCATCCTCGCGATGATAGATTTTGTTAATCGAAAGTCATGCTTTCAATTTGTTCTTGATTCTTATATTTAATTAATTTGATTAAAATCAATGTATCTTTCCAAATCGACAGAAATATAATACATATGTTTCTCGGTAAATTACTCAAATTAATCAGACGGTTAATTCAAGTTTGTATTTTTTAAACAATTATCCCGATTCAGCTGTTTTGAAGCGAGAAAATATCTTTGTATTTTGAATCGTGACATCTGATATATCTCATTTTCATTTAAGAGCAGGAAAACGAAGGAATGTCGCGATGAGAATTTTATCGAAGCTGCTGATAAGTGGGTAATCTCAGACTGAATCCCGTTAATTCTGCTTTGCAATTTTAATCAAGAATTAAAGTCATCCTTGTTTCGGAAGCCGAGATGTCGGCGTTAGTTTGTTCCCTGTCGCATACCTTTGTTATCGAAACTCGAATGGCGATGCTCGCTGTATCTTCCTTCGTAAACTATCAGACTCCTTCTGCGAACTAACTCCAATCTCTCGACAATTATTAGTTTAGTTTCGTCCTTGTCCAGAGAGAGCCATGGGACTAAAATTCTGGCGCAGCAATCGCGATGGGACACGTAGACAGCACGAGAGAAATCAATCTGACATCTTTAATCGAGAGAGCCCTTTGTTAAACAGGATCTTTGACCGATAGTTACATTTTGCCTTTTGTTTCGGAGCGAAAGAGAGAATGAAAAATCCCGGGTGAATCTCGTAGACAAGAATTTTCCGCGCGACAAACCGCGAGCGTAGCGTTGTTCCCTGATGTTTGCCAGACGCGGTGCCGCCGTTGTTCTGTTACAAAGGATTCTTTTATGGCGAAATTGTTTCGCAGCGGTTTCGCGGTTCCGCGCTTGAGAGAAGGGTACGGATTATAACGATGAATTTGTCTTTACTTTCGCGAACATAAAATCTTATTATTTCTTTATACATATATATATATAAGTAGATTGGCTTTTTGCAAAATGCATTTATTTATTTATTAATAATTTAGTTATCAATAATGTCACGAAATAATAGCTTAATAAAAAAGGCTCACATATATTATATATTATTTATATATTATATATTTTTTTTGCTACAAATTAATGAGCATAATATTAATTGGAAGATAAAAAAGAATAGAATATTTTTCGAATTGATTTCGATAAATTATAATTTGTAATTTTCTCTGTGTATTAAGTACACAGAGACACTATTTATCTCTCTGACATTGAATTCTTTATATTGACTTGGTGACTTTAGTCACTGTTTGTCAGATGTTTAGTCAGATCATGTCCCACACAATTTAATTGTTGCCTCGAGAAATTCCTCTACGCGGGCAGGCTTATATTAAGTAAGTATACTTTTGGACTAATGTGTGTGTGTGTGTGAAATATTTTTAAAATTTTGTAGGTAAATTGTAATTATAATAATTGATTAGAAAATTTTAATATGTAAGGCTAACTGTATTATTCGATAAAGTTACGATAATTTCAAATCGTTTCAAATCACATATACACATATACAATCAGAAAAATGCCTTATCATATGATCTCGCACGTCTGCGTCCCTTACCTCTAAATATTCGCATTATAACTGTTAATTATTATTGAAGAAACAATTGATGATAAAACAATAACTTTTAACTTAATTATTTTATTTTGCTTTGAAACATAACGTACGGTAACGCTTGTTTTTCGAATAAGCTATAGTTATAATGCGGGAATTTATGATATAGACATGCTTATATTTTTGTTTCCGCTGTCCTTCGCAGATTATTATAATGTACAGAAAAAGGAGAACAAAACAAGACATATTGGAATTTAGAAGACGAATTGAAAATTATCTTCATTTAAGAAATAAGCTTGAAAAATCAGTAGAAGCTATTACAAAAGGAGAAATAGATATCAAGTTCGCGCAAAAAGATGGAATCCCAATTAACATTCTTACTGAAAAATTAAATATTATGAAACGCGAAAGAGAATATTCTGAATTAAAAAATAAATATGAAACAGCAGTTTATAATGTTATATCGAGAAAAGAAACTTTATCAAAAGCTGCAACACACTATAGATTAAAAAGAGATGAACTAGAGAAAGAAATAGATGAATTTAGATGTTCTGGGAAGGAAACATACGAATATGACAAGTTTCCAGGACCGAATGAAGTTTTTACATTGACAGAAGAAAAATTGTTATTAAAACAACTTAAGGAAACGGACGATTCTAAATTATATTGCAAATGTCAAGTTTGTGTGCTGCATTATTTGCTATATATAGCTTATGAATATGCTAAATTGTCAAATAATAAAAATTATCCAGTAATATGGCGTAAAAAACGGCAAGCGACTTTTACATGGATGATAAGATTCGAAATGAAACATACCAAGGAAATTTTGAAATTCCCATCTACTTGTATAAATACATCATTTCAATTATCGACGAATAAACAGCAATCTTCTTCGTCGTTCGACGAAAATGATTCTAAATTGCAAAATGTTCATGAATCCAAGTCGTCAGATAGTCACGAAATTAAACAACAATCATCTCGAGCATCAAAGAACAAAAAACGACGATCTTCTTCGTCGTTCGGCAAAAATGATTCTAAATTGCAAAATATTCGTAAAGTAAGATACAATGCCACACAATTGCAAGATAATCTTGCAGCAGCATCGGAATATTTTTCATCGCTTGATAAAGATGAAGTCAAGCCGTCAGACAATCACGAAATTAAGCAACAAGCATCTCGAGCATCAAGAGCATCAAAGAACAAAAAACGACGATCTCCTTCGTCGTTCGGCAAAAATGATTCTAAATTGCAAAATATTCGTAAAGTAAGATACAATGCCACACAATTGCAAGATAGTCTTGCAGTAGCATCGGAATATTTTTCATCGCTTGATAAAGATGAATTCAAGCCGTCAGACAATCACGAAATTAAGCAACAAGCATCTCGAGCATCAAGAGCATCAAAGAACAAAAAACGACGATCTCCTTCGTTGTTCGGCAAAAGTGATTCTAAATTAGAAAATGCTCATGAATCCGAGTCGTCAGGTAGTCACGAAATTAAGCAACAATCATCTCAAGCACCGAAATTAAACAACAGTCCTCCTTGTCATTGGAGAAAAGTGATGCTAAATTCCTCATTCATCGAATAACATACAATGCCAACTACAAAATACTCTTGCAATATTTCTCATCTTGATAAAGATGAATCCAAGCCGTCAGGTAGTCATGAAATTAAGCAACAATCACTTCAAGCATCGACGAGCAAACAACAATCTTCCTCGTCATTCGACAAAAATGATTCTAAATTTTGCAATTTCATCTCCAACAGTCCAATTTAAAATCAATAACAATCACCTTAAGCATCGACAAGCAAACGACAACTTTCCTCATTGTTTGATAGAAATAATTTTAAATTATGAAAGGTTCACCAAATAACATACAAAGTTATGCAACTACAAAACAATCTTGTAGCAGTATCACAATATTTCTCATCATTTGATAATTCTGAATAATCATCAAGTAATAGCCAATAGTAGCTAATGTTTTAATAAATATATATATTTATAATATATATATTTATGTATATTTATGTTTATGTGTATATTTATGTTCACGTACATTTATATTAATATTTAGCATTATTAACAACATGTTATTTTCAAGAATAGCATTTAATAGTTCGTTGATATTCGTTTTCATTTATTTTTAGAGAAAACAGATTTGATGATATTTCTCGAAACCATTTTGCAGATTTGGTTTTTGAAAATCTGAAGAAAATAAATTATATTATATTATTTTTTTTAAACATTTGCATTATTAACGAGCTTAAACTTGATGACTAACAATGTAATAGTTGCATGTATTATGGAGAAATTTGGATCAATTTTGATTCAAAATTTTTTCCGTATATATTTTGTACTACATATAATTGTGATTTTTGTATGAATTTTATAAAACAATTTTAACATATGTGAAAGTTAAAACATAACAAAACGTGTCTTGATGACCTGTCTTGTTTTTCGGCACATGTAATTTCACATAATCTAAGAAAATATGAGAATTTTTCATAAGAAAATATATAATATATATAATATTGATTTTATATTATATGATATTATATGGTATATTATATAAATTGCCTATTATATAATATAATATATTAATATTATATTATACACTATAAGATGGTATATAGTATATATATAATATAATATGATATATAATATATACATATAATATAATATTCTATATAATATATATAATATTGAGTTTATACACACACACACACACACTCTAGTAAGTGGAAAATCGCCGGAAGTTGCTATATTGACTATTTGATAAATTTTATAACGTCTTTTGTATACAATCAGAGTACGTGCGCTACGTAATTTGATTATTATTCAGGAAGAGATTCGTATATAATTATATCTTTAATTATATCGTAATTATATTAATTATTTCGTTAGTTCTTAAGATAATTTTAATCGAAAAATATTTAATGTTAAAATTTTATTATTTTGTATATCAACAATATCAAAACAAATCATAACAATGATAAACAATTTATTTCAAAACATGTATTTTTCTAACTACAGATATTTTGGCTAATATTTTTCATTCTTTGTATCGAGTCAGATTAAATATATGCTGTATGCAGTTTGATTATTAATTGGAATTTATTTGCAGCCTTTGTAAGTTTTTATGCACTTAATTGTTCTTTTTCAATTCTTTAGATAATTTTAATAAACAATTGTAATATGTAATATGTTAGTTACAGTATAATCTAGAGAGGAAAATTTTATTTTATACGAGCATCACAAAATATATTTTATTTATCCAAAGTATCATTAAAAACTCAAAAGTACATGTTTCTTGAAACAGAAAGAATGAGAGGGAGAAAGAGAGTTTCTCAAATATATATTGAATGATAATTATAGTTACATATAGTTATACAGAATTGCATGTTATAGAATTGCATAATAAATTTGAACTCTTTTCTAAAGGTTTCTTAATAAATTTAAAAAAATATATATATGCAGAATTTGTGCAAGAGGATATTTATAAATGATTTGAAAAAAATAATTTTTATAAGAATATTATTATACATTATATTTCATAAGAATGACAGCTTTTTCGTTTTGCTATTTTTACAATACTTGAAAATAGATCATTAGCGAACAAGAATTTATAAAGCGTCGCGTTAAGCGGAAAACATTGACATGCTCCACATTGAGTCTCTTTCTACAAAAAATTAATTATCCGTTCATAATAAATTGCTTTGTTTACCGCAAGCCGGAAGGCGGGGCCGAATTAAAGCGATAAGCGAAGTTTCCGGCGTAAAAAAAGGGTAAAGAGGATCTTGTATCTAAAGCAACGATCATACTCCGTTCATTCTCTTTTTTCGTCTGGCTCTCTCTTTCTCTCTCTCTTCTCTCTTACATAAGCACATCGAAGTTTCATTTATCGTCGTCTTCTCGATGCTACGTGCTCCTCGTGGAACAATCCAATTTACGATCGATCAAACTTTACGACACTTTCGTGATTCTTAGACGTACGTATAACTGGAAAGTGCACGTATCTGCCAAAGACACCTCGTAAAGCATCCTCGGAAAGTATTGTGCGATCTCTACTTGGCAATGACGGCGACGACGACGACATATTGCATGATCGCGCGAATTCGCATCTCCGCGAGACTTCGATGTGAGCGAGATTGCCAAAAACCCGTCTCTTTTCACTGACGACGTGAGAATTTTGGCGACTCCGAACTCCGAACTCTAAATCTTAATTTTAATGCGTAATTATGACGAAATGAATAAGTTAATATTTCGAGTGTTTAATTCCCGCATCTGTTCTAATTAATTTTGCGATGCAAGACGTGCAAAATATGTACACAATATGTACTCACGCGCTAGTTAAATATATAAGTATAAATCCTTTGTTATAATATGTTTCTGTGACAGAATGTGCGATGCCGGTATTTCTTTTCCTTTCTCTCTTTAAACGTCTTTAATCCTCGGTTGCCTTCAGAATTTAATTGAATTCAGTCGCGTTTTCTATATGAAAACAGGGATATTGATTGTGAAAATAAACCAAAACATACATTTGCTTCTTATCGATGGCAGTTATATTGCTATCTGATCCATCGATTTAATAACGGGCTGTTTTCGCAGCGGTCCAATATATTCCCAATAGCCAATTAGCGAATTTGGATTCGGTAATCCGTCATAGACTCCGTTCGTGATTGGCCACAATTTTCCGAGGTCATCGCACGTTTCGAAAGGAACAGCCGTAAATTCGGCGGGTCGAAAGGCTCGTGCACGTTACGTGACTGCGAAAAGGGCCGGTTTCCCGCCGACGCGATGGCCCGCGTCCTGAATACTGTCGTACACACAATGGCGCACGTACGTACGCACACACACACACACACACACACCCGCGCACGCACACCCTCGGACACATCGCGGACGCCACATCCTCGATTACGCGACCGCAATTGCAATATCCCCGCAATCGGTACACAGTAGCTTCGTTATATCGTTCGCGTCAGTGTAAATTGCCGGGCCGTTGATATCTGCGTTAGGATCGCCTACGATTTATAAAATGTGATTGCAGGCGGCACGTGTGGCGAGGGATGCACATACATGCGCACGCAGACCCCACCTCTTTCCGCACTTTTCTCTTATTCTCTCTCTGTCTCTCTCCCCTTCTTCCCTTCGATTTCGAATATAACGCGTTAAATGTTATCAGGTAGATTAATGGCTGCGGTTATATAAATATCGTTGACATTTACGGTCGTTTCTCTGGAATTATAACGTTATTATTTTATTGTACTTAACGTATCTCATATTTTTTAATCGTAACGATTTCTATAAATATTTCAATATTAATAGATTTCGTTCGAATAAGCTTGGAACTCGACGAAGCAAAATCTTGCAGAAATTGATCGCAATATTTTTATCGAGGAAAAGGATTTTTGGTCCAATTATTCTTTATTAGATTAGTTAAAAATTTTTTAATTAAGTTCCATTAAATTTCGCGCATTAAAATTCCCCGTGATGAGATTTGAATAAAACTTATACGGATACAACGCGAGACACAACCAAGAGTTACAAAATTCCATCCAAATTTAGCTCGGCGTCAGAGTTTAAAGCGCTCGAAACTCGGCGGTTGATCGCGCAACTTGAAAAGGTGTGGGATCTTGGCTCACAGTTTCACCAACAGCTTCAATCCTCGCTTGCGATTCCGTCGTTCTCTCCGACGATGCTGTAACCCCGGCGGGGGTTACAGTGAGACCAACTCGTTGCCTTTGACGCGACCAACCCTTCCCGAGCACTTGCGGTGCGCCTGCCGGCGTCGAGCGATCGTTCCCTTAACGGCATCAGCCTTTCGGAGAGTGTCAAGCAACGTGCTCGTTAGATTCCGCAAGATTGTATATCTTATCACACGAATCTGAATAATTAAACGAATATTATTCACCGCTGTCACTGAACAAAGCGAGTTGCCGCGACACACAATTACCGAGATATAAATATCGCCTTGATATCTCTAAAGCGATCTAAATGACATGGAAATGTAATAATTTGCGAGGAAAATTGTAGCAATTATTTACACGGTCAGTGATCACAGAAAGCGTAGATATTTCTACGATAGATAGATCTACGATTAGTAAATAAAAATCGCTCGAACTTTCAGTAAGCGACGTAGGCTTTTGATGTTAAAAATTGCTCGGAAGTCTGCGATACGTATCTGGAGGCCAAAAACACGCGGTGTATTTCGAGATGTCCATCTTGAGCGCGCCGGCCGTGACAACGCTGTAACTAAGCGTCCTTCGGATCACCTAATTAACGAGCTCCGAGATCCTCGTGGCGGCCTCGGCTGCCAGCCGCCCGAGGTCACGAAGTCGAGGAACACACAGCGTGGCCGTCGTACCGTAAAAACGCGACCGACGGCGAAACCGCGATAAACAATGGACCATGGCGGAGTTGCGCACGGTTGCTCACTTAATTAGCATGCAACGTGCCGCTCCTCCGGGTCGCCAAAATAAGCCGGGGTGGAAGAGGAACAATGTGATAGACCAGATCCCCGGGACTAGTAAACGACGGAAGCGAAATCCTCTGTTTGAGTCTCGCAAGGGTGGCTGAAAGTTGAAAAATTTAGACTCAATCTGGATAATAGAACGAAATGGCCATCTCTTGACAGAGCAGACGTCGATTTAGGACAGAATAAAAATTTAAAGCACCAAGACTTTTAGTTTTTAAAGGGGAAAAGAATCTTGAGAAATGTCACAAATAAAATATACTGTTTTCTCTAAATAAAATATTGTGAACATTATTTTTAATTTTTCAATGAGATTGACAGATAAAAATAGATAG